ATGCCTATTTGCATAATTCTCTTGAATTATGTAACAAACACGCTTGAACAAAAGAACCTGGATAATAGGCTATTGATGCAAAAGTTACACAAACAGTCAGGTAATGTACATGTACATGTACATGCATGTATACATGTATGTATACAATAATCTACATGCAGTGTGAGGAAAGTGACAAAAAATGGTCTCAATATTATTTTTGATCTTGTGTTGATAATAGAAAATTATGAGAAGCTCGAAGCTAAAGTTGCTGATAATGAAGTATATATAACTAAATTATTGGAAGAGAAGACACAAGTAGAGGAGAAGAAACAGGTTATTTCTGGTTAGTGTATCATCAGTACATAATATTAAATGAGAGAATATTCTATTAATGTAGAAGAATATGAGAAACTTAAAGCTAAAGTGGAGGAACAATATCCCGAGGAGAAACAGGTCATTACTGGTTAGTGTTTCATCATCAATCAATAGTAATTATTAATATTCTATTAATTTATAGACCTTAAAGAAAAGGAGTTGTACATAGCCAAACTAGTGAAGGAAAAACAAGAGAGAGGCAAAGAAACTAGTTCCATTGGACTACAATTTAATTACCTGATCCCTTCAATGGGTAAGAGTATTATTGACTGACTGACTGACTGTGTGTCTTATTACTACTGATAGATAATTTGGACTGTCTGAGTGATGTACAGGTAGCAGAGAAGAAGCTGTTTCTAGTTCAAGGAGAGAAGCCTCAACTAATTAATTGGGAGAAATATGGTCTAAGGATTGGAGTACAAGAAGATACCTTATCATCCACTGATACAGTTGAGGTAGCAGTTGTTGCTCTATTGGGAGGGCAGTTTATTTTTCCAAAGAATACAGTACTAGTGAGTGCTGTTTATGCTGTTTCAGTATCCAAGCCTCTCCTCAAGCCATTACGACTAGAAATTGAGCACTGCATTAATCTGAGGGGACAACCAGGTCTTACACGATTTTTGAAGTTTGCCATAGCTCCTGTGAGCACACCCAGTCTTCCTTACCAGTTCTCAGTAATCGAGGGAGGAGAGTTTAAAGCTGATAGTTGGTATGGATCTATTCAACGTAAAAAGTTCTGTTTGGTAGCTATTGTTGGGGAGAAATTTCTATCCAAATCATCAACTAATGGAGACGAGTCAGAGGAAGTGGAAGAGGAGGAGGAACAAACAGAAGAGGAAACTGAGGAGGAAGTGGAAGATGGTGATAGTGATTCATCCAGTGATTCTGATAAGACTAAAGACCCACCAGGAGGTAGCAGTAGAGGACAAGGTCAGTAATGAGTGAGTGAGTGTGTACTAGTATATAATGAACTAAATCTATTCCACTATATAGGAGAGTCTACTAGTAATG